GTTTCCTGCGAGGCCGCGTTGGGCGGTGGCGAGTGCAGCTTCGCCGCCCCGCACGCGGAGGTGTGCGGCGGTAGCGGGTCCTGCGGGCTGCCACTTCGCGAGGTCCCAACGGTCCCGGCCCTCGTAAAACGACATGATGTATTAATTGTTTTTTTAAATTATGCGTGTTTTGAGTAAATTGTGTTCCGATTGGAATGGCAGTGACGGCGGGCGGCGTCGTGTATTTTTTGTTTTTTTCCGGCGTGCGGTGCGGGCCCGATGCCCCGGCCCGAGGGCGTATTTTTCTCTCGAGTGTTTGTTTGTTTTTGCGTTGGTTTTATTTTTTGCTTTTGGTTGTTTTTCTACGGGCCCTGCACGCGGGCAGCGGTGCGGCGTGCTGCTGCTGCGTGTGTGGGCCGGCCCTCGTGCCTCCCGCCTTTTAAATAAATTAATTTGAGGGCGGACCCATTTTGCGCTGCTCCTTCGCGATATATTTGTTTGTCTGTTGGGATGCCCGTTGGGGGGTGGGGGGGATGCTCCCAGAGGAGGCTAAAGAGATGAGTGGACGATTTGTTTGTATATGCTGTTTCCTGCGCGCATTAACTGATGCGTTTCCTGCGAGGCCGCGTTGGGCGGTGGCGAGTGCAGCTTCGCCGCCCCGCACGCGGAGGTGTGCGGCGGTAGCGGGTCCTGCGGGCTGCCACTTCGCGAGGTCCCAACGGTCCCGGCCCTCGTAAAACGACATGATGTATTAATTGTTTTTTAAATTATGCGTGTTTTGAGTAAATTGTGTTCCGATTGGAATGGCAGTGACGGCGGGCGGCGTCGTGTATTTTTTGTTTTTTTCCGGCGTGCGGTGCGGGCCCGATGCCCCGGCCCGAGGGCGTATTTTTCTCTCGAGTGTTTGTTTGTTTTTGCGTTGGTTTTATTTTTTGCTTTTGGTTGTTTTTCTACGGGCCCTGCACGCGGGCAGCGGTGCGGCGTGCTGCTGCTGCGTGTGTGGGCCGGCCCTCGTGCCTCCCGCCTTTTAAATAAATTAATTTGAGGGCGGACCCATTTTGCGCTGCTCCTTCGCGATATATTTGTTTGTCTGTTGGGATGCCCGTTGGGGGGTGGGGGGGTGCTCCCAGAGGAGGCTAAAGAGATGAGTGG